AGATGACGATGCTTGTTGTTGAACCATGATACCTCCACCCATCATCATCTTGGCGTTGACGCTCCAATTCACACTTGTAGACCCATTTCTTATATAAGCTTTTGTTTCCTCTCATAAGCTTCTCTATAGGGGGGATATAGGGGGTGTTCAAATGGATTGGTTACCGTGGTAACCATATTAACCGGTAAAATTCGGTTAATTTGGATAATTGGTTTGGTTTGGTTAAACAATTTAGCTTATTTGGTTTAGGTGGTTTGGTTTGGTTTCAACACTGCTAACAATGAAACCAATTAACCAATTAACCAATTAATGATACACCTAATATACAAAATTATTTATACTTCCATGCAACCAACCAAACCAAACTTTCGTGACTCCCTATTTTATTTCCATGTGCACAACAAACCAAAACATTATGGATCAAAAAATAAATGTGTCTGCCTATATTTACTATGGATCAAAACATTTTTGGAAATCTACTGCCCCGATTAGAATTTCCCTCTTTCGATGGTGAAGATCCTCGTGAATGGATTAGCAAATGCGACAAATTGTTTGAGACCTATGCAATCCCTAATGACCAGAAGGTAAATTTGGTTGTGATCGGTTTTGAGCGACGGGCTGATGTTTGGTTTGAAGGTTGGAAATATGGCAAAAGTGAATTAGTGTGGGAGGATTTTTTTGGTTGCTTTGTGCCAGAGATTTGGTAGTCGTACTTATGGCGGTGTGGTAGCTGCATTCAATAAACTTAGGCAGCAGGGCTCTTTGGCTGAGTATCAAGAGAGGTTTGAGGAGTTGAGGTCCCTGATGTCGCGATTCAACCCGGGCTTGGACGAGATCTACTTCATTAGCAGCTTTATCAATGGCTTGAAGCAGGAGCTGCGGCTAGTTATGTCTATGTTGCAGCCCCAAACATTAGATCAAGCTTACCGTCAAGCTAAATTGGAAGAAGATGCCATCGAGGACTGCAAAAGAAAGAAGCAATCCCAGCTTGGTGATTACTTAGAGATGGATGGGGATACAAGTACTGTGAATGTTGAATCCTTTCTTTCTCCAAACATGGTTGATGGGAATGGTGGTTTACTTGCTGAAAAAGAATATATTCCTATTGCTACAACTAGCTCAACTATAAAAGAACCTGGGTTGTTTTATTGGGAGTTGAAAGGTGTTTCATACAAGCATATGGAAGTGGCTAGTTATGTGTATGATGGGGGTAGCTGGGTTCCCAATTGGTTGTTGATGGACAGTCATGGGTATTGGTGTCCTCGTGTAAAGTTTAAACAAAGAGATACATGTATTAACTACAAGGAACCGTACAAGGATGTGGTGGCAAGAAATGTTTTAGGCAGGAAATTGTTTGATTGGCAGTTTCAGTGGGTTTGGGGTATGAATGGTAACAAAACTACTAATGCCGCAAGTGACTATATCAAGGCTATTTTCCTGGCTTCTCTTGAAGTGCATGCCACTATCACTACTTCCTCTGCTGCTGTACCATTGAGGGAAGATGAGATTTTCAACACCTTTAGCATTTATGGGCTAGAGAAACATGGTATTGGTCGTGGAAATGGGTTGTTGATGGCCCAAGGGAAAGTTCAACAAGTTGTTTTCATGATGGGGCTTGAAGATGCAGTTGACTGGCAGCAGGTTGATGGTGATCAAATGATAGGTAGGTTGATGCATTTTTCTTCACAAACAGCTAGTGCTGGTTGGCTCTTTTATTCGGAGTTGAAAGTTGTTCAGTATGGTCATTCTAACCTGGCTGATTATCTGTATGATGATGGAAGGTTCGATGGTTTCTTTGTGTTGGTGGAATCTAAAGGAAGAGGTACTGACTTTGATTTTAAAGATCCTTACAAGGAGGCTTGTTGGATGGTAGTTCTGTTTCAGGGAAGAGGCAACTGTCCTGCTTTTATAGAACCCCACAAAGATGATGTTCTAGTGGGCAGCAGTGTTGGCAGGCTGTTTGATGGTAATTTTCAAAAGGGCTGGGTGTTGATGGTTGGATTGGAGTTGGGATGCAGGATAGTGATGCTTCTGCACTTTATTTTGTGGGTTGGGTTGTGATATGAAGAACTTACCTCCACGAGCTGCTAGTGGCTGTAGAATGAGGAGAGTTTGCAGCTTGAGGATTAAAAAGCTTGAGGCAACATGTATCAGTAGCTTCAACAACCATTATCATTCCAGTTTATTTTCATGTGTTACTTGTTGTTTTCAACAGGCTTGAGGACAAGCCTGATTTTAAGGAGTGGGGATTGTAACGAATGGGATCAAACGGTAAACAAGATATAGTTTGGGGACTAGTTTGTAATTAGGAAGACATATAAAAAAAGGGTCTGTTGTAATGGATAGTTATCGAATACAATAATCATAAATTGCTTCCTTCTATTTCCCTTTCCTTCCTCTCCTTCTCCTTCCTCCTGTTCTTCCTATTCTTACTCCACTTTCTTTCCCTTCTTCTCTGTTCTTATCCCTATTTCCCAGCTCTCTCTGTATTCCGTTTTCTTTTCCAGGAATTAACAATCGCCAAGATCATTTCTTCTTCCCTAGGGGTTACAGGAAGATGTCCATTCAATTGGCTAGAAACAGCCATCGCAAGCCACCATCAGCCGAGATCTTCATCATCTCCTTTTCACCTTCGTTAGAAGCAATTCTCTACTGCTAAAAAATGTTGAGGTAAATATGTAACATGAAAGCCCATGTATATATATATACACACACATTGGTGTGAGACGAGCAAGCTGAAACAATAAAAACTCTAGATTTGGTGGCTTAGGCCAGTGAGTAACCTTAAGATACTCATCCATCAGTAATCAAATGGAAACCGTAGATCTGAGGGAGAAACATTGTGTGGCTGAGATTGACACGGAGTGTGGAGGAGCATTTTTGTCCGATTTTTGAAATTTTATTTCTTTCCTTTTTTTTATTTTTTCCAGCATTTATATGCTGGCTTTTAATTGAGGAAAGAGAAAACCATATCTCTCTTCCTCTCTCTTTTTTCTTTCTATTTCTCTCTTCCAAACACCCTTTTCTAGATCTAGATCTGTTTCCTTCTCTTGTTCTTCATTTTTTTTTCTCCAATCGACAAAGAAAAAAATTGCAGCCTCCGCTCTCAAATTCAGTGACGCTCCCAATCCTTCTTCTCTCGATATGCTTCTTCCTTCTGTTCTTTCTTTTCTCGGCCTCAAAATAGATGACGCTCCATATTGACCAAGAGGGGACAGATCTAGGTGAGTCGAGTTTGCATGTTTTATGTTTTAGTATTTGTTTGCGAATTTTCAATTCCAATCTTCCTCCTTTTTTTTTTGTTGCATTTGGTGTTCTTGATTGTGGAAGAGGAAATGAGAGTAGACATAAGACGAGTTTTTTCTCTCCCTCATTCTGTTTTTCTTCCTTTTTTTAGGTAATATATATTGAGATTACCACACTATGCCATATGGTAATGTGTGCTAACTAAATATATTTTTATAGTCACGAGATTTATCATGGTGGTAGTGGGTGGTAATCGACAACAGTTCCGAGAAAAAAGAGTTAGAAGACAATGAAGTGGGAGAAGAAAGTGAACAGAGTCGTAATTGTATATATATATATATATATATATATATATATATATATATATATATTGAGATTACCACACTATACCATATGGTAATGTGTCTATACCATATGGTAAAGTGTGGTAACGAAATGTATTTTTATGGATATAATATTTTCCTATGGTCGTAGAGGGTTGTAATTAGATTTATATTATTTTCGTATGGTTTTACCTTCTCATACCATGTGGTATTGTATGGTAATTACAATTAATTTGTGTTCATTCGATTAACCATGTTCTACTATGGTGGTATTGAATGATAGTTATATTTATAATTTTATGTAACCTGTTTTACCATGTTATACCATGTGGTGGTAGTTGGATTTGTAATTTTATTTTAGCATGTTATACCATATGGTATGATATGGTAATTAGATTTGTAAATTTCTGTAGCATGTTTTACCACGTTATACCATGTGGTATTGTATGGTAGTTAGATTTATAATTTTCTTCAACATATTTTACCATGTTTTACCACGTTATACCATGTGGTATTGTATCATAGTTAGATTTGTAATTTTCTTCAACATATTTACCATGTTTTACCATGATAGTAGAAAGTGATAATCATATTTATACTTGTAATTACTGTCTTTAGCACTGAATTATTTAACGAAAAAATCATCATTCAATTTGAGTTAGAATTAGAACAAAGATAGCTAGGATGGTTAGATTCATTTTTGTTGTAGATGGGAGAGAGAAGAAATAATGTATTTTTTCTTTTAATAATAAAACAAAGAGTGAGAGAGAGGGGAACCAGTGTGGGATGGGGGTGAGATCTGCGTCTGGTCAAAAAGTCGGCGTCAGAGCGTCAGCGTCATCATTAAAAGGGGGTGCAATTTACCTTAGTGTTCCTCCGTGTTTAATTTAAATAAAAGGAAAAGGCTGACACGTGGGGACAGATGATTGGATTACTAACAATTACTGATAGGAGAGTTACTGACCTAATCCGGTCCCAGATTTGGTCGTGGACAAGTCTCGTTCGTACTGGACAAGGAAATCACATAATCATAATCGGTATCAGAGTTCGTTGCTATGACGGAGAAGATGGTGGCAACGGGGAAGCTTTTAGGGTTCAGGGGGAGATTATGTTTCTGGAATGGGAAATGGTGTCCGTGAGAGATGGGGTTCTCCTTTTTTTCATTAAAGAACATTATTTCCAAAGACACAGCCCCTACTGTGCACATAGACTGAAAATCACTATTCATTTAGACCTAAATTTACTGTGCAGTCTCCCCTAATTGGTTGTTTACCTGTGCGTGGGCCCCGCTGGTTTTCTCAGTGTGTTGGGATTGGGCCGGCGAGTTTTCTCCGGTTTTTTTGAGTTTGGGCCGGATCTTCTGCATGGTGCTTTGCGAAGCTGAGCGCGTTGCCCACGGAGCAGGTTAGAGATCCTTCCCTCTCTCTCTTGTCTTTTCTCGCAGACTCCTTCTCTCTCTCAGGGGTTCTGCTGATAGTACGCCTCAGCCTTTTGGGGAGCTTCGCCACTGTTAGGAGGGAAGGCTACTGCTCTGTGATGGACACTGGGCGGCGGGCGTTGAGGGAGGGAGAGAGCAAATAAAGTTGAGTGGACTGGTAAATGATGAGAAAGAAAGCAGAAAAGGGGAGGGGATTGAGCGATGCTGGGCTACACCTAATCCAAAACGGTTCCCGAGTCCAGTGACTTTCACTATGTTTGGGAAGGGGTGTAAATGGAAGGGGGTGCAAATTTGGGGGGTAAACACAAGTTCCAAGGTGTTTACCCCCGTTTGGTTATTTTGTAACAGTAGGGGGGTGCAAAACGTGAGCGTAAATTCACTATTTCGGCTTACCCCCCAAATTGGAGTGCAAGGGAAGGAAGGAAGGGAGGGGGAAGGGGGAGGAGGGGAATTATGGATTTTTAATTAGATTATAATTACATAATAATTAATATTATTAATTTTTTCTTATATCTATATTAGTGTAGAAGTTGTTTGGGGTTGACCATTTGACTCAGAGAGCAAGTTTGTCAATGTTCGCCTAGTCAAATCGATATCTAGTTGACCCGAATCTGCATTGAAAATTAGAGATAAGAAGCGTTTGTTGAAAAGATAGAGAGAAACAGTTTAGTTAACTCGATTTACTTTAATAAATAGTTAAAACTTACAGATTCGAACGGTTTGACTAAGTTTGACCATATTCAATTTAAAGTTAGGCACGAGAACCCCCTTAGGATGACCAGTTACGAGTTGGATTTCGAGTTTCGAGGTTGCTCGACCAATGATTATTATGATTATTATTATAAATAATTATATTTGAGCATTATTATATAATAATTATTTTTATTAAAATTATTTTTATTTATTATTTATTATTATATATTGAATTTTCATGTTATTATTTTGTGATAATATTTTATAAATTGATAAATCTATTTTATAATAATATAATTACTTACTTTTTACTTTATTTGCACCCCCTACTTTTTCATCCAAACAACAATTTACCCCTCCACTTACACCCTCCACCAAGTTGCACCCCCCAACAATTTACCCCTCAACTTGCACCCCCTCGAACTTGCAACCCCTTGTTGCCAAACATAGTGTTAGTCTCCCTTCTTCCCAAATCTCCCTCTCTCTCTCTCTCCTGTATCTCACTTCCAGATTCACACATCTGGAGATCTCTCTCCCTTCTCTTCTCTCAACTTGCCGGTAGACGAAAAGATTGAGACTTTGAGGATGTAACCAGCAAAAAGAAACTTTACACCTTCCTCTTTTATCACGACGCACAGGGGGAATGGTTGGCGGCGGCCAAGAATCGTCGACGGAGGTGAGCAGTTAAGAGCCGCGGCGGGCGGTGACGCGGTGCTGTGATAGCGGAGGATGCAGGGGGTACGACGGCGATGATCGAGGATGGCGGTTACACGGCGTTGAGGATTGACGACGATGGAATGCGAGGCGCGATGGTGAGAGGTGACTGGTGGTTTTGGGCAGATCGAGTAGAAGTTTTGGGCATCGCCTAGAAGTTTTGGGTAATATATTTTTTTTTTCCCATTTGATTAGGCTTGGTTGCTTACAATTCCATCCATAAATCAAATGGTGAGAGGTGACTGGTGGTTTTGCTCCATCGTTAACTACGTCTATGTTGAGAAACTGAAAAGCGGATGCAAGTGGATGGTTGTACGCAGATCAAAAGGGTATTCCAAGAGATTGCATCTCCATTGCTGTTGCTACGATCACCGACGGTAGATGAGGTAAGCACGGTGGGAATTTTGTTTTTCGGGTGAATATTCCCCCTCTTCAGATGGATTTGTTTTTCTATTCTCAAGTGGATTTGCTCTCTCTTTCTTCTCAAAGTGTTCGCTTGATCCCTTTTAGCTTTACAGGTTTATTCATAGTCTTTGGCCTCTCCGAGAAAGGAATGACCCAAAGGCTTGAATCGATTGGAAAAACACGCAGGCTATGGCGATACGAAAGATCCCTGATGCTTTTGTGTAATATTAGGTATCTTCTGCTCCCTCTGATTAGTTGTTTCTAGATTAGGTTTATTATTGTATAGTTATAACTGATAGTGGTACTTGGGTTTGGGTAGGGTTTGAACTTGAGGTTCCTCATGAGCTACTGTGGAAAATGCAGAATCAACATCACATAATTCTATTTGTGATGTGATCTGCAGGCTGGGTTGGATGAGGAAGTAGCAATAGTTGAGCTAGAAGATTCTGGTTAGTAGCTTTGGAATTCTGGACTTCTGAGATTCTGAATTTTGTGTTCATGTTAACCAATTATAAGTTTTACTTTGTACACCCAATTGCATGCTCTCAATTCTTAGCTTTACGATTTTTGGAATCTCATTTTTCACTAGGGACTAAGTTGGCACTGCCAGTAGTCTTCTACACAACCTGCATTCAGATCTTTTCTCATGCCTATTCTGTGATATCTACATTCCCTACAACCAATGTTTATGATGTTTACTACAACTTTAGTTCAGTCTTTCACATTAATACATAACCCATTAATACATAACTGCAGTGCATTCCATAACATGTTCCTAACTGAAAGATTATAATATAGTTTAGTAAGGCTCTGATCAAGTAATATGCAATAAGACACCGTTTAATGAGTTGTTTCCCAATGCAAACAGATAAGAGGGCCTGGAAACGCTTCTGCTGCAAGGACCAAACCAGCCAATGAGAGTAGGAGAAAGCTAGAAACTGAACAAAATGTTGACCTGATAGCTTAAGAAGTCGACCTTGGACAAGCATCCAACTAACTCGGCTGAAGTCCTGGCTTTAATGTTGCTTAACCACGCCAACTCTATTGCTTGAATTTCCTTCTTTATGACTGAGTTTTCAGCAAGTTGGACTTGATTCACATTTATTGGACTTGATTCACATTTTGTTTCTTGGTTGATCTACATTTTCTTTTCCTGCATTTTTAGGTTCAGGATCGTTGGTTCAACACCCACAGCTATGTGCGCCCATTCAGATGTTTCACTATTTAGTGATCTAACAAAATTGCTTCTAAAAGATCTAAACATCCAATCAGCTAAATACAACCTCGACCCTCATCTAAACACGTTCCGCGGCATAGCCGCCGGTATTGATTCTAAACTCTCCATTGCTGCCCTCTGTTGTTCCTTTTATGTATGTTTACGTTTTGGTGCATAATTAACCCAATTGCTTGGTTTGTCTTTCATGCTGTTCAGTTCAAGGATTGCTTGAGGCAAGGAGATCAGTAGAAGCATCGACAAGGTTGGAACGATTAGTAAGTTGAATGTTTGGTTTCTCAAAACTCAACCTACAGACATTCTGGTCTCCACAATAATGATCAAGAAGTTGAATTATTGTGGACCACGATTAGTAAGTTGAATTATTGTATCCTTATGTTCAAATTGTAGCTCAGGCGGAACACATTCTGGTCTCGAGACATGATCAAGAAGTGGTCCAGTCGTCTTTGGTAAGTGCCAACAGTTTGTATGGAGTCGATGAAATAGTAGGGTTTTTTTTCATATCTTCCTTTCATTAGTAGAGAATGTTTAACTATTCCACTTTCTTATATACTCTCTTTATAAATAAGCAGATGATGAATCATAATGGATCTCATTTAAAATTACCATTGTAGTAATGATGTGCTTGATTGTCGATATACTTATCCAGATGGTTCTTTATGTTCATAGTGTATCAAATGGTGAAGAGTTTGTTACAGCAACAATTTTTCTATTTTACTCTCTAAGGACACATGTTCTCCTTTTGGATGTGGGTAGATGCATGCTTTTCCTTTTGGGAAATCTCCCCTATTGATCAGCTCTTATAATGTAATTTAGGTAGCCTAGCTATCCATCATTCAGTGGATCATAGGGTTTCACCATGAGACTGAATTTCTCAATTTATGTTTTGCTGGTGTATTTTTCATATAAGTTTATTTTCTATGGCACATGATGTATGCCAATTTAAAGTTGGCCATTTGCTTTTGAAATATGGGTTTTTAGCTTGCTTTGCGTTCAAATGTTCAAAATATGTGAATGAAATTTATAGTTCTTGAGTTCCATAATATGATGGGTGATTATCTTCAGATGTTTATGGATGTGGAAATGTGTGTTGAATAAGCTTGAGTAGACTTGGAGAATCTGATTGTAACTGTTGTTTTTTTTTTTTTTTTTTTGCAGGTCTCGAAAGGGATGCAGACCTCTCTGATCAGTGGTTTTAGTTGGGAGTCAATTGGAACACGTTCTCCATACTTTCCATAGCACAAGAGAGGCGTTGCAGCTACTCAGTCCCGAATTACGGATTGCTTAATTCTCTACTGATTTTTTTACTAGGGATAAAGTTTAGTAGCTGAATTAATATTGTCTAATTCCTTCTCTCTATTCTGGCAGTGCGTTGATCTACAAGAAGAAGATGGATTCTTGGTGACCAGGAGAGATCTGGGACTTATAAACTAATGAGGATCTAATTGAAGTTCCAAATTTGTTGTAATGCTAAGTGTTGATATAGGAACATATAACCAATCGTTGACCTCTATTCTTTCGCACTTGAATGCATTGTTCTGTTTTTAAGGTTAGCCTAAACTTTTCAATTCCAAGCTGTCTTTCGTTGGAAAAGGCATTGAGAATGATGTCCAGATTTGAAGCTGTCGCATAAAATCTATACCTAAAAAATATGTACTTTTGATCAATTTTTTCGATTCCAAGTAAATTGATATTTTCACTACCAAAAAAACAGAGTTTTACTTGAGTGTAGTGAGTAGGACTTGAGACTTCGATGGACCAAGTAGGTATGTATGATTTGGTGCAGCAAGGAATGCTAGGATAACCATGATAGGTTGATGCGTGACAATGGAAAATTGTTTTCAGCTCTATTGAGGTTGGTCCTTGGATTCTGAACTAGAACCGTTTTGTTAGGTTGGGTTGTTTTTTCCCACCTTCATCGCATAAGAAGGAATGGTCTTAACAGGAAGTTGTTTTTTTTTTCCCTGTAAGATTGATAAGTTCTTCTAAGATCCGCCTCGGTAAGATTTTTTGCCATGACAAAGTACAATCCCCAGTGCATTTTGTGCGCTCCTATTGTAATGTAATCATCTATGTCGTCATTCTTAGTTTAGCAATGATGACACTTAGTGTGGGTTGGCAAATCACGCAGTTCTACATCCCATGTACACTGACGGCACAAATCAACATACCCCGCGGCAAAGCGCGGGATTATTCCTAGTTTTAATTAATAACGATACTGATAGTTACTATAATTCCATAATTCCCGTTTAGGTGATTATCCAATCATTATCTCTCTCCTCTTTCTATTGGCCAGCAATCCTTAAGACGCTCTTTAAGCAATGAGGTTTAAGTGTGATCTAACCCGAAGCACGTGGATATCTAGGGCCAGAACCCAATTTTAAACTATACAATGAGAATTGCTGTGCTCATGCACAACCATCACCATTACTATCCAAACAGCCAGGTGGAGTAGCTTCCGGCAGTTGAAATTCATCTGAAGGAAAAACCCAATCATAATTGCTTGATCAGCAAGCTACCCTAATTTCCTGTTTTACATAATGTCACACATGGACATGGTATATCCAGATAAAGTAAGATAAGAAAGAAAATCTCATTGATCTCTAAGACCCTAGTCACCATTGTCAAAGTAGATGAGACAGGTGGCCTCACGATCTTCATATGCATCTAGAGCACATCTCATTCATTATCTGTACATTCCCAGAGAAAAAAAAAATTCTCAACTACAAGTTCTTCCTCAGCTGTGTAATACCTCGTAGCCTCTCCCACCTCACGGCTCTCCTGATATTAGACCCGACTCATCGCCATTTGAGTAAACAACTAGTTCATTGTTCATATGTGTCCCAGCTCCACCTGACCCCAACATGTTTGCTTCAGCTTCCACCTGACTCTATATAACCATATAACAGTAAACTGGTGTAACTAAAACATTGATTTAGAGTCCAGAGCTCGAATTCCAGAGACAACAGACGTACCTGCTCTACTGGAGCCGAAGAAGCATGATCTTGGTTTCTCTTGGACAGATCTCTCAATGTTCCCTGCAATATTTCATTCATTATTGAAATATGTAACAAATGCATGTCAATCTCAAGAGCAAATTTCATTCACGTACTTAGTAGCAAATAACAACCTGGTTCCACGCAAATTGAATAGATCCAGTTACAAGTGACTGACAAAATCAAGATTTGAAATCTTATCCTAATATCCTCCCGTCAAGGAATAACAAATATGATATGCTCTAGCTCTATATGTGTCTAGAACTAATGAACTGACTCACCACATTCTTCCTGCCTCAAGTTGTCTCTAGGATTTTTAATCCACTATGATGACCAAAAAGCTTCCGCAATTAGCTCTTTTGTCCTTTTAAAAAAGAATTCAGATGTATGCGCAGGCTCAACTCTATTTATATGTACATCATGACCTTGAAGACCAGAATTCTAGGATTGAAGTTCACTATACAAATTCTAAGCACAAATTCTGCAAGAATTGAGAGACCTATCTAGTACCTTAAAGTAATCCGTCTGATCAGATAATAAAATGTAACACCACTGCACATGTACAGTATAACCTAGGCTAGGCCGAAAATAGAATGAAATCCAGCTTAAACTCATGAATATCCTCTCATATGTAATCCTAAGCTGAGATTTTAAAAGAGTAAGCACTTGAGAATCACCAAAACGACATATAAAAATAATACTCCACGTCCTCGCGATATTCTGGTGGGAAAATGGACACAAATAAGGAAACTAACCCTGTTTGCCCAGAAGAGTCCACATGCATTGCAGAGAGACCTTGGGCCAGATGGACCGCGTCGCATCATTGGAGTTGATTTCGAACTAATGCCACAATGGGTACACCTACAGAAGAATACAGAAGTTCCAAGAATAAACTAGTCTGATAAAATATAAATGTTAGTAGAGCTAGCAACGTTCAAAAGTTAAAAAATGCAAAATTACTCCAATAAAACAAGGAACGACAAACTCAATGGTATATACATGGTTTCCCGTTGAGTAGCTCCCCAACTCGAAACATCGGCTATTATGTTCAATGGTATTTCCATAGGATGAGATTAGATAATAGAAAGTTCAAGACTAGAAGGCACAATGTTATCCTTACGAGGTTTCTTGCTGGCTGTCATCATGCCCCGAGTCCTGACTGCCATCCCAGCCATATGCTCCATCTTTCTTCGATGAGGTGAACTGACCTTTGTTCCGCTGCATCCTGATTTACAGAGAAGATATTCATTAGATGGGGACTAGAAACAACAAAAAAACTTCAGGGCGGGGGCAAGTGGTGTCTGGAAATAACCAGCGAAGCAGACAGGGAAGTAGCAAAAATTCACAGCAAAGAAGCCAAACAGGATAAGTCTTACATATGAACAGAATAATCATAAACACCTTAAACCCTGAACAATATAATCAAATTTGTTTCTTTCGATAACCAAATTGGCAAATTCTAAACTAACAGTTAAACTAGGTATACCGCAACACTAAATGCAGTGGTCAAGAACCATTGTTGTTGGTATTTGCACAGCGAGCCGGACCATTCTTGTCAGCAAATACAATATCAGTGTTTTGGTCTAACTATAGGTGCTTACTATTTCCTTAGTGTAAACATACGAAACAAAATGTTGTAATACAAACAAGCAATGGAAGTGCAGTTTAACAGGGAACTCATCATATTGATATTCACTAATTTTTCTAACCATCCAGGCGTGAGAAATCTAATCTACCCATTCTAACAAATCAACAACAGTTTAATAATGCAAAGATATGTGCCAGAAACCACCATGATAACACCTGATCCAACATCACAATATCGTATATCAGGCGACATCATCAACACACCTTTGGGCAACCTCTTGGCGAACACTATACCGAACCTTCTTGTCAAAACACCGTTCTTTCCTCTTTTGTCTAAATCTATTTAAAGAAGCTGCTCTATGAGGTTGTGTAGAGCGGCCTGGATAGTCCATAGATGTTCCCTAGACAGCAAAAAGGAATCATATCAGAAGGCTTGGGTATATCCATAAATTCAAATATATACTACAATCTCATAAATAATTGGAGAGGACAAATACCCTTTGGCCTTGAGGCAGCATTTCCAAACCATTCAGACCAGAATTTATTTCACAACCTCCTAGTAGTAACAGGACTGCCTGAACCTGTCACGCCCAGAAAGTAAGCACATTAAGCTAAAACTCAAAACTGGGCATACGTGAAACAAATTATCTGGAAAAAATTGGAAAGCACTGTTGCAAAGAAGGCAATGCAGGGCAGCAGAAGAGCTAAGAAGAAAATCCAAAAGAATGTAGTTACTTGCGCTACTTTCACAGGCTACAACTAAACATTGAAGCGAACTTTGCTTTCTTTGCCAAGAAACTGGCACAAAACAGAAGCAAAATCTGCAAAGTTACAGACTTTAGTATCCCACCGCCGCTAAAACCCTCCGCAGAATCACCTACCTTATCAGGAGTGACGTCGTCAAACACATACACCTGGCCACGAAACGTCAAAGTGAGCTGGTTGGTGATATCACCCCCCTGCAAAAGAAGCTCCGACCCAGGGCCGCCACTGGAAGAAACATAGACAGAGTCAGCAGACATGTCGTCTACGACGACTACTGCTGCTGCGGCAGCGTCGTCATATCCAATGTTGTGAAGTTGGTGCTGATCCATTGAATCGGGGGCTCCAGAAGCATCTTCCTCGTCGCCGCCGCCGACGGGCACGTCGTCGATCTGGGGAGGAATGTTTATGGACTGAGAGTGGGCGTACATTGGCGAGAATCTTAGTGACCCTGAAGCATCAGAGAGAGGGGGCAAGCAGGAGGGGATCGGAAGAAACCCCAAAAATCCTAATCCCCCTCGACAGATGTCCGTTGGGAGATTAGGGTTTGCACAAAAAAGGAACAATCCGACGATGGGAGAATATTTACGGCGGAGAATTTTGGACAGGAAAATCTCCTTCCACGTAATTCGGTTTCTCTATTTAGGGTCGCCGCCCGGCGATGTAATGGTGGAGGGCGTTGCCGGGGAGACAGAGTAGAGGGAGAGAGACGACGGAGGAGAAAAAGGGGAAGCCAAGGAAGAGACCAAACAGAGACTTGAGAGTGAGAAAAGCCAGTCCAGTAAATACTCGTCGCTATTTACTTTTATTTTCTCTACCCCTTTCTGTTTCTGTTTTTGTGTTTGGTTAATTTAATTCCCTTCGCTCTCCAGCTTTATTTTAACGGGCTCAACTTCTGTTCATGGGCTTATGCTTTCGGCTTTTCATTTGGGTTCTCGACTGAGAAGAGCCCATATCGTGCATACGGGCTACGGCCTACGGCCTACGACTACGAGGAAGGGGTGCAACGGTTAACAAGTCAAACCAATTTATACTACTCCGTCTAACTGCAGGAGATCTTGATCTGTCTTACTCTTTTTCTTGCTAGGGAATAAAAGAAAGACCTATGACTCGTTGTCTCAATCATAACTTCAAACAGAACCTCACTGTAGAGAGGGAGACCCCGGAAGCGTAAGAACAACTATTTTGGAGCAGTAAATACTGGTTCCGGTTTAATAAGTGGTATGGCTCGAATGAGATATAATCAATTTATGTTGGTTTAATAAATATGTAATGAATTTAAGCATATATAAAAAATACTAGCTTATAACCCGGCCCGTTGGCCGGGTAGGTTAGTCAATAATTCTTCATTGGATCTCTATTACTTAGCATGGATAATTAGTGATGACAATTTGAACCTACCATGTGGGTATTACCTGATCTGACCTGTAATAGGGCGGGTATTAGTCGACCCGCATTAGAATGGGCAGGACATGGTATCAACTTCCAACCCACTTTGCTCCGCCCCGTCTCATTCTGCTCAACTTGTTAATGTATTAATATATATTTCTCCTATGAGGCTGTTTAGGAATGTCGGTTTTGGAATTAACTAAGTATTTCTGTTTTAATCCTTTGAGGCTTCCTTTCTTAAATTTCCATCACTTAGGAAGGCAAATTAAACATAACCATTGTTAAAAATATATCTTCTAAGAAGATAATTTTCTAATATCCAAGCGTGATTACTCTTATCGATTATGCACTACAATACATTTTTTGTTATTCAATTTGGTTGACTTTTTGGTTAATATTGACCCACAATTATTATATTATTGAAAAAGTATTATAACTCACCATATATTTCATTGGTGAGTGTAGCGTGTTCCTAAACGAAGCTTGCAAAGAACTGCTTGTTTAATGTGTGGCTGAGGTAAATGGAAATATACTTGAATAGGAGTGCTGTGTGATTGGTTCTATATTCAATCTAGAGAGTTACTCGGTGCAGGCGAGAAAATAAGTGAAAATATGCTTATGTTTTATGTTTACACCAGCAGTGTGATTCTCCTAAAATATGTTACCAAAGAGATCAACAGTCAAGGGGTTTCTTGGATTGAAAGTAATGCAAATGCAGCCATACAACTGTTCAACTTAATTCTCATATATCTATATAGCAACAAAAGATGTCAAAATAGATTAACCTGGAATAGAGTATCTGAGGAGGTACCCATGTTGCTCTCCAATTTCTTTATCTGTAGCAAATCCCTTTAAGATAAAGCCAGACATTGAACGATTGTATTCGGGTGATCAAATAAAGGTTCTATGAGGTTTGGATGGTGATATTCAGTGCAATATTAGTTAATCTAGATGCGATATAGGAATGAAAAGATGTTGGGAGTACGCTGCTAAAAAATTTCCTTGTCAATTGCATTGTTAAATCACTGTGTCGGTTTGGATGAAGTTTGTGATCACAAAGAAGTGTCAATAGGAGGTTTCATTATGCATTCAGTTCCATTAGTTGCTCATTGACTCTGGTTCTGAGTTTCCTCCCTGAAAATAATTTATCACAAATAGGTATAAATGGTAGATTTCATTATGCATTCATTTTCATCGGTAGGTTATAGAAAGAACAAACAAACTGAGATGTATACGCGAAGAGAGAAATAAACCTTATAGACAGGGCAAAGCCACACTCCCCTAGCTTATTGGATTCAAAGAAGTTTTTTGTGTCAGAGTAGGAGAGCTAAGCTACGAATAGTAAAGCTTGCAATGAACCTTGCTGCTATGTGAAGTAAAAAATTGAAATATACCTCTGATAATAACAACAAATAAAAGAGTGTCTTCAGAGGAGCGTGACCACAAGAAAAGAGCACTCAAAATGCATCAAGCATATAATAAAACCAATACAATACGACACCAGAAGAGGCCTGGAGATTCCAACTACCAACTGCCTGCGAAGTAAGGAAGCAGCAAGCTTGGCGATTCCTTTCACAATTGAATATGCGAGCACTGTGATCCAGTTCAATGTTGACACAAAATGCACGACCCAATTCAGATTCAAAACCCAACCTGCGTATGAACTTCCTAGCAAACTCAAATTGGAAGTTAAAAACCCCTTAACTTGAGAATCAATCATTGTCATGGAGACCCACATCCAGGCAATAGAACTAACCTATGAGCAGACAATTTCGACACAAATCAAATTGGAAATGGAAAACCAACCCAAATTGTGCATCAATTGCTTTTTTTGCCACAACCATGGGCAAATCAAAACGAACCTGATGCTATCTCCCTCGGGAAAGATTGTCTTCTCGACACCGAACAAACATCAGAATCGGACACCTTTTGGTTCCTCACAAAGATTTACTTCTCAGCACTGAAATCGGAAGAAACATATGTAAGATGATAAAGTTCGGAGACAAATAAGCACAACTATGCTAAGAAACAGAACATTTACAAAGAATCTCAAACAATACGCATTCAACTCTAACCTGCATACTCCAAGTATTTTAAGCATATCTCGCTCTTTAGATAAGGCGTTTTCTTAGCATGATCTCACATTAGCAAGGTGTCATGCTTTCAGCATATACCCCACCATTCTTCAACACATGATACCAAACAGTTCCCACATAACAAACCACAGTTAAGAACATTTCATCAGGTATGTAATACAAGTTCTTCGCTAGATAAAACCCCAGTTCCAACATCAAGTTCCAAACTTTGGCAGCAGATTATATAGTGTAAGACCAATATATAACCTCTTTACCCAGCAACTCAAGAGGAATTGTAAGGATGAGTTCCTTTTAAACACATTTTGCCAATTGAACACTTCAGTGGGCGGTGGATCACTGGCTACCAAGTAAACCACTACACTTAATCATCTAATATTGATTCAACAAAAGGAATCAGATCCAGGGCATGATCAGTGGATTCCAACTGGTGGGTGTAATTCAAAATTCAAACTCAAAACCGAATAGATCCTCTCCGGTCAACAGAATTCAACTCCTAGTCAAACACCGAACTAAAACAAACACGTCTCCAGACCAGAACAGAGGACAACTAAACTCGAAATTCTTTACTGCAGTGACCCAGATCAAAATAGGTACGTCGGAATTGGGAAATAAAGCAAGGGATCGATCAAGCGGCAAACCGAAATTGCAGAGCAAGAAAGGGTTTTTTTTTGGCAGCGAGGAGCGGAGAAATAGAGAGATGGGTGGGAAAAGGAAGTTACTTGGAGAGTGCGAGTGAGAAATTCGACGCCAATGGTGGAATTGGACCCCAAGTAGAACTCAGCTGCGAGTGAAGCGAGAGAGTAGGTTGGATTTGCCGACGCCGGCGTGTATGGAGTCGACGACGACAGCCTTAACAATGGAGGAGAGGAAATAGCAGAATCGCACACAGTGTAGGGGCGAGTGGATGATGACGGTAAAAGAACTTGGGGTTTCTTCACATCTCTGGAACGACTTTTCTTTTCCTGGGCTTAGACAATCAGTGGGCCCGTTCAACGTCTCCAAAGGAGCCCATTGCAATTTTCTGTTTCCAAAAGTACCCCTCCGTAAAACGCTCTGGAGGCAGTTTTGAAATGGGGATTCAGTTTTCCCCTTCAGCGTATTACAATTAGAGTAGATTTGAAGAAAATCTATTTACATTCTACATTAAATAAAATACAACATTCCTAACAAAATAAAAATAATCATATTGAAGTATAACATTTACCCTCTGTTTCCGAAGGAAGAGAGAAAAGGAGGGGAGGTGAAGGAAAATTAGGAGGGGAGGGGAGATTTGGAGATGAAGGAAATTGAGAGAAAAATGTTGTTTTATGGAGGAAAGTGGAAAGAAAAGTGTGTTTTGGGAATTGTGATGAATATGTTATTTTATTGGTTGTCTAATAGTAAAATAATTTGATTGTATGTTAATATTTTTTTAATGAAACGGAGCACTTAAAGAGCGCCGCAACCTTTATACGGAAATGATATGGGGTCTCTGGATCCCAACACTGCCATGGTACAACCAATACGCTAATGAACCGATGACTAATATCAATGTTTATATAATGTTTAAAAAACACAACCGTACCACCCGGTCGAACCGAAAATATCAAACCAAAACAGTAGTCAATTTTAGCGGTAGAAAATAGTTGAAGTATAGTTAAACCACAGTTTTAGTACAAAATACACTATTTTTCCAGTATAACCTCCTGCACAGTTTCGTAATCCTTGATATTACACTCAAATATCTCAACACCCAATTAATAAAAAAAAGGGCTAATACCACTACAACACCCGAACTATGACAAAAATGTCACTTGTGTCCTATTCTTTTCAATATTCCATTCATATCCTGAAGTATATTTCTTTTTGTCATTTATGTCCTCATGATTTCGTTGACCGTTAAAGATAACGGTTGACCAGACGGAGGTCAAACTTTTGTTGACTTCTGCTGAAGTGGCAAAGCATGTGACATCCACATAGGCGCCATGTCATTGCCACATCACTTTTTTACTCAAAATTATATTAAAATTAAATTATGATAATAAAAATATGATTAATTTAAAATTCAACAATATTTTAAACATCCAAAATTAACAAAAACAAAAAAAGTACCTCTCCCTCACCCAATACTCCGGCTCCTCCCACTCCTATTTACAGATCGGAAGAGTCGTCGTCGTACGAAGCGGGAGGCGGTAACCGGGGCGACGCGGTAACGGACTCCACCCTCCACTCCGCCGGAGAAATCCCAAGGTTTTGTTGCGGTGGATGGGCTTGGACGAGATGGGGGACGAGAAGGGGATTCGATGTCGGAGAGAGGGACCTGTGACGGCTTCCGAAAAGAGTCCCGGCGAGTAACCCAAAAGGGGGCAGAGGCACGCTAAGCACTCTCTCACTTTTCTTGTGTTCGTCGGCAACGGAGGTGATCCGCCGCGCGCGAGGGAGGGAGAGAGAAGGGCGGGAAGCAAATCTTCCTTCATCCCATCCTCTTCCACCAATACCTTCCTCCTTCCTCAGTCCGACCAATTTCAGCTTCTTCCCCTCCAAACTGCCAAGCTCGCCGACCCTCCAAATTGCCCGAGTCCGCCGACCCGACACAGATCTGTCCCCTCCCCCAATTTTTTTTGTTCTGTTCTGTTCCGATATTCTTTGTATAAGCCTTACCAGGAAGGAATTGGTTGCTCAATCTCCTCCACAAGCAAACAAATTAGGGATTTAATTGCCCCATTTAAGCTCAAATCAATCCCGTTCTTGGTCTTGGCTGGGAAAGGCAAATGATGGCGGGGGACGCAAACGACGGCCAGGGAAAGCGCATGAAGGCTGGCGGTGCCCTTCTCCTTCTCGAGCTCTTCCGGGAGAGGCGAATGACAGCGGAGGATGCGACGGTCGGGGAGCGCGAAAGACGGGCGGAGGGGGGCTTCTCGTTGCCTGCTCTCTGCCCAATGACACTGGATCCGCCCTCGCAACCAACATTGCAATATCATCGCTGCCGCTCTCAACGAGGAAAAAGATGATGATTCAATCTTGGAGGGTAGCAGGCCTTGGAGCGCAACCACGGTGGAGGAAGCAGGGGAGGCGATCGGTCTCTTCGGGGCTGTGAATGCAACGAAGGAAAAGAGAGAACTAATATTCTTTCTCTTATTTTTAATTTCTTTTTAATTTCAATTTTTCTTGGGTACATATGGTTTTTTATTTTTTTTATTTTTTATTTATATAAATTCCATGTCATATGCCACGTTAGAGCTGACTGTGTTTTCTGTTAAATACTAACAGTCAACCGCGGTCAATGCTAACGGAATCATAGTTCAGGACACAGATGGAATATTTGAAACAATAGGACACAAGTGGCATTTTTCGGATAGTTCGGGTGTTGTAGTGGTATTAGCCCTAAAAAAAACCTACAGAAGTATTAATTATTTATCTTTATCCAAATAATAAGTTATTTCTAAAAAATTAAACCTAAACTAAACTAAAATATCATTTTTCCTTTCTAATTCTACCAAAAAAATATCATTTTGCCTTTCTTCGGTCTCTTCCCCTTCCTTTCATCGGCTAAACTCCAAATGCCATATGCGAGAGACCTAACTCCCTTTCAACCAGTGAATCCCGCCGCCGTCACTGTAAAATACAAACCCTAAATCCAAAAATCACAAATTGGTATCAACAGAAGGATCTGGACTCTACATATACCTTCACTACGTTCATGGCAATCACCATTACCATATACTCTACATATTGCATAACATTATAACTTGAAGTAACCCTTACTATACAAAAGCATGAGGATCATTGGACACATTAATTATAATAGATTAAAAATAGTACAAGAAACAACTTCTTCATCCACCATTCTTCGTCTGGACTATTGTTTAATGCTCATGTTGTGCTCCCGATTTTTGGTACATGTCATCGATTTCAGCCTGTTAAGAAGAAGAAACCCTATTTCTGCCAAATTGAGAGTGTGTTCCATTAGTGTTTAGAGATTTAACCCGTTTTGGGAGATAAAGAGGGAGAAAGATAAGATTTTTTTAGAGAGAAGGTGTAGAGAGAGTGTATTCTTAAAGTTCGGTGTTGCCCGAAGTTGTTGCAAGTGACTTGTCTGGTTGACTTGTATTGAGAGGAGGGGGTGTTCGTAGTTGAATTCCTTGTCTTACGCCAATTATCCAAAACATTCTTTGTTATTCCCCTAACATTTCTCCATCATTCCTCAATATTCTCAAAAGTTCTCCAATATTCTCTACAATACTTTAATTATTCTCCATCATACACTAACATTTCCCGTTAATGTGAAAAAGTTGAGCGTGTATGAGAAAGTATGAGGATTATTGAGAATAAAATGTAGATAAAGGAAATTAAAGTAGGGAAGGAGAAATAGGAGGAAAGTGTAGGGAGAGAATGGAAAGGAGGAGGGGGGGAGTAGGTTGATTGTTGCACCTATTTATTTTTATATATATGTCTATTACTGATCTGAAAAAATAGTATTGTTTATTAATCACAAAAAAATATTTGTTTATTTTATACTTCTCATCATCCTATTGGCGACGATGGATATTTCGACTGACTAGTGATGGCTGAACAATTACAATGATGGTGGTCGATTACCAAGGTATGTAAATTGGGAATGACCGGCCAGCGGGGGCGAGGCTGATGACGTTCTGAAGGTGGTTCATGATTTGAGTACTCATGGACATATTGAAATCGATGGAGGAAATTGAATCGGCGGCATTAGAGAGGTGATGAGCCCGAATTAGAGTGATGGTGAAATCGAGGGCGGTTTAAACAAGGGCGGAGGCAACTAGGTTGATGACTATGCTGAAATCGACTGTAAGGGATTCAGGATCTAGCAGTAATGGCCGATTGCCGCCAACTACAATGCTGATTGTGGATTGCCACGGTAGATAGGATGTTGGCGATGACTAGAAGGCAACTACGAGGCTGATGACGTTGGTGATTTTGATTGACTAAGGGTTCAGGATTTTGGTCGTGATGGTTGATCAACGACAACAACGATGATGGTGGTGGATGGCTGCGATAGAGGTGTTGGTCTTGGTTTACCTAGAAGGACAAATGAGTAGGGAATGGAATGACTCATTTTTTTTTTTCAATTTTTTATTTCTTTATGTTTTATTAATTAAATAATTAGCTAAACCAGACACACACAGTATATCACAACCCATTCATCTTAACCGGTTAGAATAATATGGCTATACTAGTGCCGACACGACATGAGGAAGGAAAGTAAAGAAAAATATGGAAAGATAGGAGAAAAAGAAACTAACCATAATATTATTCATATGAAAATTATGAAATTTAGAAGAATTGTAAGTCAACTTTAAGTGTAGTGGTCGAAAGATGAGGGAAATGAGAATAATAAATAAAATAGGCTGCCCACTAATTTCTTGTATACCTTTTATTTTTATTCCACTTTGTATTGACACATTGTGGAATTAATCATTATATTGAGTTTCTGGTATAAGTTCTATAAATAAAATATTCAATCCATTTTTCATCATAACTTGAATATAATTCGGTATTTCAATAGGCCGGTCAAAACATGTGAATATTGATTTGAATGAAGACCAAAGTACATATTTATAGAAAATATTAAAAAACCTTATAAATTTCTAAACTTAACCACCAACCAACTGATATCTCTAATAGTTATCCCAATTGATAAACATAACTCCATAATAATAGTACCCAAACCGGGTTCGATTTACCATTCTAAACCGTCTCTCTCCTTCCTAACTAAGAGTGAAACCAGTAACTGTAACTTACAGAGTTACAGGAGAAATGGATACCACATCCATAAGCAAAGCATATGTCGTAAGCAAAATGTCATTACTCATTATCACATATACCTTCATCGCATTCATGGTACTCACCATATATTCCATCGTATTAGAACTTGAAGTAACCCTTACTATACAAAGGCATCAAGATCACTAGATTTATTAATCATAATAACTTAAAAATAATACAAGAAACACCTTCATCCACCATTCTTCGTCTGGACTACTGTTTAATGCCCTCGTTTTGCTCCCGATTTCTGGTACAGTCCGTCGATTTCCGCCTGTTAAGAAGAAGAAGAAACCCTATTTCAGCAAACAAAAACTAAACCAACAAAGGTATATATCATACAAACAAACCAAGTTCCAATTAGTTTACCTGGTAATACTTGAGCAGCTTGTTTCTTTTCTTCTTGAGAGTGGCAGTGACCAGGTCTTTCTCAATGTCAAATGGCTTAGATTCCAATATCACCCCCTTTATGTACTCAAACCCCCTCAGCTTCATTCACAGCAGAATCCAAAACAAAACAAAACAAAACAAAACAAATGTTAGTGTATATTACTATACAGCATCAGCCTACATTTCGATTCACAGGAACAGAATTCTGTACCTTATTTCTCTCACCAGTTGACTTGAGCTCCAGCAAAACGTGCTGCCTTAGCTGTTCTAGACAACAAATCTCAGGGAATGAACCCTTGTAGCCATTTGAATTAGCCCATTTCATAGTATTCTCTTCGTGCAGCACAACAACTGCAACTAGAGTTGGTTTAAAGCTGTCTCCGTATACCCATATCTACAAGCAACAAAACAGAACAACACAGCAAACCCATTAACCAGGGAACAGCAAAAGGTTTAGGGTTCATGGAAAATAAGGGTTTTTTAGTTGCATCATGTGTCGCATACATCGTCGACAATGGGAGTGATCCCAAACACATTCTCCAAATGCTCTAGAGCAATGTACTCTCCTTGTGACAGCTTAATTAGGTTCTTCTTCCTGTCAATCACTTTGATCACCCCGTTCGGAAGTATTTGCCCAATGTCCCCTGAATAACCCACACCAGTATGTAAGCATGCAAGCACAAATATGGGGATCTTTGGTTTTTGTATGTGAATTTGTAACTAACCTGTGTGGAACCATCCATCCTGAATGGATTCAGTAGTGAGTTGAGGGTTCTTGTAGTAACCAGCAAACAATGTTTTCCCTTTCACGCAGATCTCACCACAAGGTGGCTCCCCAAGCGGGTTGTAGCCCATATCGGGTACTTCCTCGAGTCGTACCTCGGTGTATACTGCTGGAGCTCCCACCGCTCCCATCATACACATCTCGTCTGGGAAGCCTAGTGTTGCTGGTCCACAACATTCTGTCAATCCTGCAATACAAGAAACAGAACACTTATTATCATGTCAACATTAAGGAAGGTCCAATCTTATTTAACTAGTATTACCATATCCTTGGAGTACAAAGGCGCAGCAAGTGACCCGCAAGAATTCTTCTACTTCAGAGCTCAATGGTGCTCCTCCTGATACGATTAAACGAAGCCTGCCTCCTAGTTTTGCCTTCACCTGCAAAGAGAAACACCAGAAGATACATACATTGCAAATAATGTTGGGAGCACTGCAAAGACTATCACTAAAGCTTGTGTTTCAGTGGAAGGACAAACCTTTCTAAAGGCCAATAGATCAGCCAATGGTGAGGAGTTCTTCTGCTTGTAACCCAGGTTCATCCAGCCAAGCTTGCTACATTATTAATTGTTCAAAATGATTAGGAGATGTCAGCAGCCTGTGTCCAAGTACCTTTGGTTGGGATTCAAAAGAATGCCACACTTACTATTTGTAGAGAAAATCGAAAACCCGCCTTCGGATTGGATTAAGTTCGTCTAATGCTTTCACTATACCTGAATTGCAGACCAAGGGGAAATGTTAACCTGCAGCAGTCTGATATACTTATGCATTACTCACAATGACAGTCAAAAGACATTATTGCATGCCTTCATGTATCTTTTCGAAGACTCGAGGCACGCCAGCTAAAAATGTCGGCTTCAGCTCCATCAAATCGTCTCTCAACGCATTTAAATCCTTCAAACAGTTGAAGAAAACAAAACAAAAATTACAAATCCACAAACAATGAAGTGTGAAATATGCATATCTCAAAAGCAGAAGCCACATTATTACCCCATGGTAGTATCCAACTGAAGCACCTTTGCTGAAGAAGTACTCCTCGATCACTCGGTCCAGGATATGTGCAAGCGGTAGGAACGATAAGTACACATCATCAACAGTCATCTACATGCTCAAGAACCCAGAATCAGAAATCTCTCACTTTACCAAAAATTGAGAGACATACAAATGATTTGGCCGCTTGTTCCCTGTCTTAATTTACCTTGTCTTCAAACTGTTCCATGAACAAATCCATACCCCTAACAAAGCTTGCAACTATGTCATGTGTCAGCACAACACCTTTCGGATCTCCACTCGTACCACTGGTGTACATAATCGTACAAATGTTGAATGGCTGTGGTGGAACTATCTCCGTCTGATTCTCTTCCCCCTTAATGGAAACACCAACAACAGTAGAATCGAAGCATTATTCATTGAATGGGACAGAAAGAAGTGAAAAAAAGGCTACAAGTAAACGGGCTTTCGTTAGCAACTAACTATACCATTACTAGAAACTCCTGCCAGGAGTAGGCTTTCATCCCAAGTTCAGCTGCTCGATCCTTGACCTCATTCGCTAGGGAAGTGAAGCAAACGAACGCTTTAAGTCGTCCAGCAGCATTGCAACTAGGGTTCAGCAGCTGCAAAATTAACATACTAATCCAATGTTACAACAGTGTTTATTTTCTTCTTCTTCTTCATCTTGATGAACATTATAATCAATGGTAAGCGGCAGGCTTACTTCTTTCACTTTCTTGTCTTGCACGAAAACGAAATCCACCTCTGCATGGTCTATTATAAAGTTGACAGCGTTGGGACCTGCACTCGTGCCCCCATTTAACATTATATTATTAATATCACAAGTTACTTTTACATATTTTTACTGTTCCATTCGAAAAAATAGCAAAAACCACATTGTTACGAAAAATTAAGTTTAGTTACTGTTCACTTGGGAATTAATCACCTAAGCGCTGCTCCATAATATTCCCTTCCGTAATTAAGGTTCCCCAGGTATTTTGCCAACCTACTACTTTTTTACCTTTTCTCTCTAACAATTTGCTTTGTTCTTTTAGTTCACAAATCTTGGCGGGTATTGGCAGAGAAGGGAAGAAGACATATATTTTCAGCTTCTTTTTTATAAAAAGAAAACCAAAAACACAAAAATAAATATTTAACAATGAACTATATTACCGATAAATATAATTTTCTATTATATTATTAGACCAAATATTACGAAAGATTTATATAAAACCATTCTATAACAATTATGTAAATTAAAATTAAAAATTCATGAATTTAATTTACTATAACGTGATTTTATTATTAGACCATACATTATGAAAAATTTAAGTAATAACTATCTATAATTGTTACATGTGATTTTTTTTTTCTCAACGGATACTGGAGTTTTATCACATATACCCAAATTTACCATAATCCCATTCTCTCTTTTTAAATATACTATTCATATGAGTTTTATCTCCTACAACCAATTCTATGATAAGTCTAAAGTTTATATGAAATTCTACGATAAATTATTAACTGAAACTCCTTTACTTTCGATGTTTATTACTAAATAACATGTTATTTTCTAAAATTTGATTTTATCATTAGATCACACATTATCAAAGATTTATGTAATAATATTCTATAATATTTCTTTATCTCATACATCTAATTTTATCATAAGTTCTTGATTATTTAATTTTGGCATAACAATTTAATCATATGTTACTTTCGTGTTACTTTCTATCACAACACATTATGAAATGAAATATTTACGTAAAACAATTATATGAAAGTTACATAAATTAAAATTTCATGAATGTTACTTACTATAACGTGATTTTATTATTAGACCAAACATTATGAAAAATTTATCTAATAACTCTCTATAATTGTTATATGCGTTTTACTTAATGATTAAGACACTACGTAAAGTTTATGAACAAATAATCATTATATCTGTATCAATTAAAAAAAATATGTAAGTTTTATATAATGACTAAACACTACGTAAATCTTACGTTGAAATAGTTATTTACTATGTATCGCTTAAACACAAGGATGACTATGTTATTCGTAATGATTAAGACATCACGTGAAACTTGCATATGTCTATTATCTGAATAATTTTGTAAATTATTTGATTTAAACTAAATCATTAGTTTCATACCGCGGCGGAGCGCGGGCCAAAAAACTAGTACATTATTAACCTAATCTCCAAGATTCAGTTTCAAAAATGCAGAAGACGGCAAGGAGAAGGTATGAATGGCTGCCGGAGTTTACCAAGAGTATCATAGAGAGGTACACAGACCAAACTGTGAGCAGCACAAGCCTGTAACCAATTCCAAAATGTAACTTAAAATATGTTCTTAAGGAAGATATAAAGAGACAGGCAATGTCGAATCAGATTTCATAGTCACACGACCATACTTACCTCCATCGCGACAGTCCATTCGGGGCAGTTTGCGCCATAAACACCAACCCGGCAGCCCTGTTTCATACAAGAAAAATCAGTAAGCTTTTAAAAAAAAATCCGATCTTTCGTTTTTTTGTTAGTAGAATGTGAACGAATGGTTAGTTACCGGTTCAGCACCAGATGCTCTCAATGCAGAACCAATACGCAAAACTTCCTCATTCACTTGCTTATAAGTCTTCCACTCATAACCCCCATACTTCCACAAACAACAACAATCAAAAGTTCAGTTACTTCCAAAACCAAGATTAGTCTGTCTGAATTTCTAAACACGGGGATTCTTTTCCTTTTCAGTTACCTTTCCATTAACGAATTCTCGCCATCCTAGCATTCTATTGTCAGGGTATTTCTTCACTGATACACTGCACAAGTGGAAGTTCTTGTCAAAACCAAAATCGACTGATACATGATTCTTCACTAGGCAATGCAGAGAAATGTTCATAGAGAGAGAAACCTGAAAAGATCCCAAGCAGTGGAGATATCGGGATCAGGAGGAGGGAATTCATTCTTAGACAGCAGATTACGGTAAACAGGACCAACTGATGGTTTCCCGTTTTCCCCTGCTTTGCCTTCCTCCACCGCAGCTGCAAAAACCTTCATCATTTGTTTCTACACCAAGGCCCCTCTCTGCACTGAAAACCCCAACCACGTAGGAGAGTGAATTTCACAGAATGACGAGGAGCTTTCTTCAGACTCTAATAAATAGCCATCGCCGTTTGTCAAATTCTACAGGGCTGGCGGTCAAATGCGAAACTAGCCATCAACACCACGACTTTAGCACCGAGTGATTGCCCACCAAGTGAAAACAATGTCGAATGTGGAAAAAGGGTAACGGAGAAGAAAAGCATGCAGTTGCAGAGAAGAAAATGCAAACTTTACTTACTGGGTAGGAAAAGAACTTGCCTTTCTGGGTTGAGGTAGGCAGATTCTGGTTAAAAAAAGCAAGCAAAGGTGAAGTTTTGGAAATCTGGAAATACTGTAAATTTTTTTATCCCAAAAACAGGAAGAGAAAGGTCTCAGCCTGATGGTGCCGTGGGAATTGAATTCTGTGAAGATGTCAAACACTATGGGCAGGGGAAACCAAAGAAAGTTGACTAACCCAAGTTTATGATAACAATGAAAATGATGGGATTAAATCAAGGCCAAGCCAACCAGAAGAGAGAAGAAGGCTACTAACATTGATATACAACTGCCAATACTTTCTCCATACAATAACAGAACAAACCCCAAAGTACACAGGAGAAAAAATGACAGGTTTCAAGGGCCCAACCAGAAGATCATGGGAATTTTATTTTATTTTATTTTATTTTTCATTTTTGTTCTTCTGTGTGAACCATAGTATCCGTACAGGCCAAAAGAGTGTGAGTGGCCATTTCTCAGGCCTAATTAAAGGGGGTAAAAGCAAGGAAATGGAAAAGAAAAACAGAGCACTCGTAGCAAAAAAACCCGAACACAAGCAAGGTAAAACAGAGGACTTAGAAACAGAGCATAGCCAAACCTGAACACATGCAAGGTAAAACAGAGGACTTAGAAAACAGAGCAGCAGCAAGAGAGGAAAAGGGTAATGGGAGAGAAAGCCAAACTCGGTGAAGATGATGAACTGAAGAAGGGCTGCTGGACGACCGAAAGAGAGAGAGAGAGAGAGAGAGAGAGGGCATTTAATGAAAGTAGTTGTAATGCCGATGAACAGTAGCAGTTATGTGATGTCTGGTCCACTGTACCTGTGTAGGTGATGCAAAAATAGCAGTAAGAAAGCTTAAGTTTTTAGAATGAAAATGAGTTGGGAAGTTTTCTATCTTTCGGCCTTGTGTTTATCGCTTATTACACTGACTGTTCTGTTCTTATCAAAATATCATCATCCACCATCATCAACTCCACTCCTTTGATGATGGTTGAGATGCTTTCTTTCCATTTATTGCTCTCTCCTCAGCTGTCCTGCTACTAGTCCCGCCAATCGCCTCATTCGTTCATTCATTGCACATTGCTGTGTTATTCTTCACTCTTCTCCTTTTGTGGTGGCCTTCCCCACAGTACTCAACTTGGGCAGGAAATGGAAAGTTATTTATGGATTTTGCTTACCTCACCTAATCCCAGCCAGCTACCTAACTGTGTTTAAATCTGCTGAACTGAACTACACTCCATGGAATAACACCGACGAGAAGCAATCAGGCCATGCATAGTACATAGTACGACCATTTGATGAAGGAGATAACATAATAATTGTTGTGCTACCCCGGTTCGAATTGGATGCGAAGCCAATTAGAATTATTAAACCACAAGTTTGCAAAACTTAAAAAATAATCCGGTTACTGTTCCTTACGAAAAATCCGGTAGCCACTGTTCACAAAGGAGTTCTGTGATTCTCTGCGGTCAGATTCACATAAGCCCGTGTTTATCTTTGTTGGGCTGGCCAAGCACGGCCTTTTTTACAACAAATCGTCCGCACCTGATCACTTTGTTCTCCATCACACAATAAAAATATAAAAATTTTAATTCAAAAACCAAAAACTTCAATGAAAAATAGAAGCTAATTAAAAGACGAAAAACATCAATGAGAAAACGAGGGTTTGAATCACCCCTGAACCCGCTGAACTTTACTCTGGCAAACAATTGCAGAGATTCAGCATCCTAATATCCCCCAGTCTCCCTATTCATCGTAATCTTCTTTTTCCCCGACGTTTCGGCTCCGTGGGTCGTTCAACCTGATCAATTCAAAAGCATAGAGAAATGAATAGACGAATTGAGGATTTTGATCGAAGAAATCGATATCAAGCCATGCACGATGATAAGGAGACCATGTCAAATAGAGAAAGAGACGGCGCGGTTTTTTTGGAAGGCGTCTCTGTAATCGGTTCTGCATGCTTTATCGAGACCGATGGAGGTCCGGCGTTTGAAATCCCTTTCATCTTCGGCTGCCATGGTCTCCTTCCACAGACTCCTACAACAATGAATCCCAACCCTAGGTAACTGGAAAAGAGACGAGATTTGAAGGCCACCACATGTAAGGTTAATCAACAAAGTACTCTCTGAACATGCGATCCCATTAATACCCAAGCATATAGAATTTTAAAAGGTTTGAACCTGCATCATCGAATGAAGTGAAAAACGAGATAAAATACCCAAATCTATAACATTTTACCTGGGTTATTTGAAAGAGCAACATAGTGGCAGCATTGTGGATTCTCCCGGTGGTGGTAAACTCCGCGGATTCCATAGTTGGCGAACCACAATCTGTGCGACGACAGAGCTGACGTAGAGTTGGTTGGACCAGTCGTCGAAGAAATTATTGACGGAAGGGAGAAGGGAACATGAGATTAGGCCGAAAACCATGTCCGGAAATTTGTAGTGGGTTGAGTTAGATCGTCAGTGATTGGAACCATCAGCGGCACCTGCTCAATTGGGTTGCCGTTCACTACTACTACGTTCTCCCCTGTTTTAAAACAGAGTATCCCAAGAAAGAAGAAAGGCCAGAAAAACAGAGCATTGGTACAGATATCCAACTCAATTGGAGCTTCATCTTTCGAATAGATTGATAAGGGTTTCTGTAATTTGCCTCTTTTACCAATTTCAACAAGAGAAATAGGGGTCATTGATGAACATGATGAACTTAAAGATCTGTGCATGAGCCACACGTGTCTTTATTTGCAATGCAGAAAGCCACCTGTATTTGGTTCTAAAAAGACAAAGTGATGTAAGAAACTTTTACTTTTTGTTTTATTTTGATCTCTGATTAGAGATGTCATAGTTTGATTTGTGGAAATAATTCTAATTAGGGTTATAGGTATAATATGCCCCTCTACTATAACGTGTTATAAAAAATGCCCTCTACTAATTTTTATATCAAATATGCCCCTGTACTTTGAAAAAATTATCAAACACGCCCTTCAGTTAAAATTTCCATTGAAAAAATCGTCAATCATGGTTGAATTGAGATTTAGACGACCCGACATCAACAAATGGGAGGGAAAATGTCAGTTTTGTCCCCTGTTTTATTTCCCTGGGTCTTTTCAAAGTGAAATTATTTGAATGATTTGATTATACAAAAGAACCAAAAAATTTATAAAGTGAATTTATTAGGGATATTTTAGTCATTTGTGTCGCCCAAACTAAAGTTCGGCCTTGGTTAACGATTTTTGGATGAAAATTTTAACAAAAGGGCATGTTTGATAATTTTTACAAAGTACAGGGGCATGTTTGATGTAAAAAATAATAGAGGGGCATCTTTGATAAAACATCATAGTAGACGGGCATATTATACCTATAACCCTTCTAATTATTGCAAACCAATTACCCGCTATTAGTTCCTTACTTTGGGATTTACTAAGTGGATTTTATTGTAATTCTCTCAAACTTTAGGGTCAATTTATTTTAGTACAATAGGTCTCCACTTTTTCCATTTTTTATAATGAAATCATAACGTGTCTTTGATACTACTCTTATTTTACACAATCCAAAAACTTTCATAACGGTGGTGTGATTCGGTTTGAGTAACGGATCTTGATGTGATACATCTACATAATGAAAATAAATATGAATTGAATTTTACAATATTTATAAAATAAGCACGGTGAAAAATCTGCTTCAAAAATATAATTGTAAGAAATGAAGTAATAACGATATATTATTCCATCAATGCATTTTTTTATATTTATCTTTATCAATTACAATATTTATGCGTTTTCAGGATATTCGAACTAATATTTTTGTTTTTGCAAAGAGTCCAATTTTGAAATCTGAGACCTCATTGTTTTTGCAGGATATTATGTATGATTGAACACATTCTTTTTTAACCGATCGTAGATAAAACTGTTTTATTTACTGTTTCACATTTGAAATTACATTATATAAGTTTATCATATTTACAAAATACAAACTTTAATCAAATAAAAATAGAACACAACCTGCGCGAAGCGCGGGCTTTGATCCTAGTTTATTAATTAAAAGAATAAAAGGGAAGGCGAAGGGCAATTCTGGTATTCTAATTTAATTAAAATAAAATACAAAACAAAATTCGGCGATTGTGCTCGACCAAGGTTATGGTGCTAAAACTAATAAATTTATTACCATGGTGCTAATACTAGCTCCAACAAAACATTTCGTTTTTAATATAAGAAAAATGATTTTAATGGGTTGACCACAATTAATGAGGATTGGTAAAGGAAGTGACACGCTTTTCATTATTAAAACTTAAGGGAGCGGGGACACACGTGGGTGGCGATACTCCACCATGCCTTCATCACAAGTATCATGAAGCATACTACAAACCACAGAAACGAAATACAACAAACTACACCACATATAGCATAAAGTAGACCCGAAAGCTTATAAAACATACAAAACATCACTGCCACAAAATTCATAAAACATACCGGTAACCTCATCGAAGACCACTAGTTTCTTAAACCATATAAGCAACCTCATAAAGCATACCACAAGTTTCTTAAGGCATAATAGAAATAAAGCATACTATAAGTTCCATGAAGCAGACCAGAACTTCATAAAGCATACCACATGTTTATTAAAGTAGATCACAAATTTATTAAAGCATACCGCAAATTTCTGAAAGAAGACAAGAAATTTCATAAACCATACCACAAGTTCCCTAAAGCATACAAGAAACATCATAAAGCATATCACAAGTTCATTAAAGTATACCACAAGTTTCCTAAAGCAGACCAGAGACCTCATAAAATAGACTGTAAGTTTCCTAAAGCATATACCATAAAAACACATCAAGCAAACCACAAAGTTTATTAGAACATAATATGAACCTCATAAAGCATACTACAAATTCTCCACACTCTATTTGTCAACTAGGTGGTGCAAATTCGAGTGAGGTGCAAGTTTAGTGGAAATTGCATGGGGTGTAAGTGGATGGGAAAACTGTTGTTTGGAATGAAAAAGTAGGGGTGTAAATGGAGTGAAAAGTATGTCCAGCTGGATTTGATTGTGGGAAGCCAATATCCCCCCCCCCCCCGAGCTAAAGGTTTTTGCTTGGCAGATATTCAACTGCCTCCTTCCTACGACGAAAGCTCTACTAGAAAAGGATGTCCAAGTACACCACAGATGTTCGGTTTGTTGGGCAGAATCAGAAATAATAGAACATTTGTTTCTTGATTGCCCAGTGGCCAAGGCTTGTGTGATTATTTAGAATTTGAATATCTTGGTCAATGGTTGGCTTGTCATACTTTCCTGCTCTTCCTGAAGAAGTTCATGTT